ACGGTTTATAAACTGAGGGGACGGATTGCAAAACCGTCGCCACGGATTGTTTTTTTTTTTCTCCTACAGGTGACTTCCCGGGCTCCGTACGCGCTCAAACTCATCAAAAGTAAACAAGTTCCACAAGCAACAACGACTTATCCAAGTGACCGCTGCAGATCGCACGCGCGAGAGAGAGATAAGTGAGTGGGAATTTACCGAATGTGGCACTTGCGGGAGTTTACACTGTATGCAATACCCGCAACCTCACACCAAATTTCAGGCGGTGTAGATTGGCAAGCATATATACAAATCATTTAGTAAGCAGAAAACTGAAATTTACCTTAACATATTAAGTTAAGAGGAAGATGTGACTGAATTGATGCTTGAAGAATGCACTTCACGCAGCCATGATAAACAGTTGGCGGTTAAAGTTTTCTATGCACAATTTGATTTGACGAAAGTCACGAGACCTATTACTCTCTATCCAATCACGTTGATGTATAAAAATGAAATTAAAATAAGCATGTAACGACCACAAACGGAGGAAAATAGCGGAGTAAAAGTACCGATACATCACTTAAAATGTACTCAAGTAAAAGTAAAAGTACACAATTTTTAAACTACTCAAAAAAATACAATTACTGATAAAAACTACTTAATTGCTGTAACGTGAGTATTTGTAATTCGTTACTTCACACCCCTGTTTAGATGTATTTAAACACTGTTTAATTCAGGACATGAATGCATTTAACCTGCAGTTACAAATGCATAAATAATGTTTTGATATATTAAACATAAAACGTTGAATACTGATATTTGAAATAATTAAAAAAATGAAAAGATACTTTAAATGTGAAATTAAAACCGGCAGTAGGTGGCAGTAAGTCACTGTTAATAAGTGAGTCATTGCGATTGAACCGAATCATTTAAATGGTTGATTCATTCAGGAACAAAACGTTGTCATGTTACTCAGACGCAAAACAGCGCTGTGGCTTTGTTTGGAATTATTTTGTTGGCGAAATAGTGCAAAAACAGGCAATATGGTGTCTAAAACGTAAAACCGCCAGAAGGTGGCAGTAAGTCACTGTTAATAAGTGAGTCATTGCGATTGAACCGAATCATTTAAATGGTTGATTCATTCAGGAACAAAACGTTGTCATATTACTCAAAGACGCAAAACAGCGCTGTGGCTTTGTTTGGAATTATTTTGTTGGCGAAATAGTGCAAAAACAGGCAATATGGTGTCTAAAATGTAAGTCTCTTAATAAAACCTAAGTTTAAAAAAAATCAATATCACATTTGTATATGGTAATTTTTGGAGGAAAAAAAGGCACTCTTCGTGTGATTAACTATATGAAGTGGTATAAATATACACATTTTCTGCCCCCATGTCTTGAATTTGTGATCATTCTGAATGTAATGGTGGAGTTTAAAGTGCATGACGTCAACCTCCGGAGCTCTATAGACTGAATCATGCAGTGAAAGAAGGCACTGTAAATGCGCACGCGCACTAGAATTCACGTAATGCGTGCACTCTGTAGATGTTTTGAATGTTTTTTTTTTGTGTCGTGAGAATATTGAGCAAAATAGCTCACTTGTCATGTTGTTACTTAACTATATCATGCTATGAATAAAATAAACATTTAGAATTTTTACCTCAGTGTGTTTCTTCTGAGTTTGTGTGTGCTGTTACGCTCATTTGCTCTGAAGTCTCTCACAAAAGAGACAAATATAGTGAACCTCAACAGCGCGAATTTGATACCAGAAATACACTATACATTAACACCCGCTGTTTACATTGAATATAGGCTAATAAAATTAAAAGAATCATTCTCGCGTTTCGATGCTTCGCTGGTTACTTTTTGTCACTTATGTTTTAATCATAAATTTTAATCTTAATAAATTATTATTATTATTTTTATTGAGAACATTAAAAAGGTAGTTCGACCTATACAGTCTCGACCTGTATTCTGCTACTGCGATTCTCTCTGATGCAGTAACTTACCGCGGGGAAGAAAAAATCTTCAGTCTGTCCAATGATTGTAAAGTCATTAGGTCCGTCAGACTGAAGATATTTTAGCGGTAATGTGACCAAAAATATTTAAGACCCATCGAATCCGAATTGAAGACATTTTAAGACTTTTTAAGGCCTTATATTAGGAAAACGTTATTTAAGACATTTTAAGACTTAAGGACCCGCGGACACCCTGTGGCATTAGGCCTATTTCTGAATGAAATAATAAAATGCGACTTATGTTTTTTTTTTTTCCTCTCTAAAAAAACTCTTTTTTTTTTATACGCGTAGCTTATGTCAACCATGCAGCAAACCTTTTTAAATATTTTGATAAATTACTAAAAAAAAAAATTTTTTTTAAATGACTTTTTAAACCGTTTAAACTGATTGTATTAATCGGTCAAAATTCTTCATGGTCAGTTAACGGTTAACCAGTTAAAATTAACATCCCTAGTATCCTCCAATGCAAATTTCATGTAATATATTTTTTAATGATTTTGAAGTTAAAATACTGAAGCCATAATAATAATAATTATTATTATTATTAATTATAACTTTTTTAACACCATGTCAGCTTCTATGGCTATGGTTTAGTTTTAGGTTTAGTTATGCAAAATTAAAACTAAATAAGATGTTTAAGATTCATTTTTCTTAAAAAACCTAAAAACTAGATTTAGATTTACTTGATTAAAAACCTTTTCAAAAGTATCAACAGAACAAACAAAGTTTCTCACAGGAGTAGAAGTATTACAGTCTAGCAAAATATGTTTAATGGACAGTGGATTTTGACAAGATGGACACTTCGGGGAATTTTCTCCTGATAGTAAAAATTCGAATGTAAAATTTAAAAAGTGTGTAATTCTTGAGTGTCCTATCCAACATCGTGTGTAAATGACTAAATGACTTGATATAATAAGTATTATTATTATTATTGAATAATCCTAAGTAAACATTAATTATACAAATAATTTTGTTCCTTCCCTAAAATCATTAAATATTCTTATCTCATTCTTACATATACTTAATGTAGCCAAATATTAATAGAAACAACTAAATTAATTTGTTTAGAGATGCACCGAAATAAATTCTTGGCTGAAGCCGAACAAAATGAAACACTGGGCCGAAGGCCGAATACCGAATACAGTTTTTCACAATTTTCCCCCCTGTAGGCCTATTTTGCAATTTTTTTTCACCATTGCATTAATTCAATTGCCAAAATGTACTTATTACTGTTTTGTCCTGCTTTTCAAATAAATTTTTTTTAACATTCTGCAGTTTATTTACTAATCGTTTGAGGTAATTTCGCGATTTAAATCATACAGTAACCACCAACATTAGCCACCTCATCTTCTCATCAGAGACATGTTATGCAGCACTAAACAGTCTCTCGCTGTCGGTGCTTCGTGCTTGTGATGATTTCTGCGTCTTTCTCTGATAGTTTTAAATACTTTCACACTGCCGAGGTTTGCTGCATTAGTGCGTGCCTCTATTTAATCGCGTTCGTCATTGTTTGGTACATATTATTCGGCCAAACAACGAAAGAGATTTTTTTTGCTCTTTTCGGCCGAATAATTTTGGTTGCCGAATATTCGGTGCATCCCTAAATTTGTTAATAATAATTGTACTACTGATTTGTCTCATATAAATATAAATTGTAATTGTTAATATTTTTAAAATATATATATATATATATAATATTTTTCTTTGCACAGTTGGATGGCCGTGTTTGTATTCTGAACCCATTCTGAAGAGAAAAATCCAAAATATTCAAAAACAGAAAAGCACGTGGTTCCACTGAATCCATTCCTGAAAGAGAAATGTCATTACATGTTGTGAAGTAGCCTGCTGAAGTAAGACTTACCCCGAGGACCACGGAGAGGCTTCCGATGGTTGACTCTGGGTGATAAACTGAGAGCTGGGTGTGTGTGGGCTGTTCATTAGGATTACATTGGAGCCACTGGGCCTCTGAGGTGTGCTAATGACCTGTGATAGAGACGATCAGGTTTAGAAGACAATACGGCAAACATAATAAAAGAGTAAATGATGCTTGTTGCCAAAATATCTGTTACGATATTAAACATGTTAATATCATCTGTATTGATCTTTACCTTGATGAAATTTAAACTAAGTTGTGACGGAAGGAAAACATTTATTCAACTAGGACAAATGCAAGCTAACATGTTTCTTTTTTATGCTGGTTACATATAAATGACACGGTTCCAATTCTAACTGACATATGGCGAGCACTCCTTCAATTGATTACAGTGAATTGCTCAATGTGGATTCATAAAACTGTAAACTAAACATAACCATTCTTGGAAATGTGTTTCAGCCTGAACTGCCAGATCAGAAGTCAAATAATTCTCTTTCTTCATTCAGGAGATGGTGGGTGTTCAACATCATGACTCTAGATCAGTGTAAAACACTACAAGAGCAGAGGCAAAATTATTTCCAGTTTCCATTAGCTTTTCCCCATTGACGCCTAACAACTCTTAGTTGTCATAAACAAAAGTCACTTGCAGGGCTTAAATTAAAAAAAAGGCCTGATGGCCCAGGCGATAAAAGAGTGACTTGCCCTATTTTGCTAAAGCTTGAGGTCTTTTGTTTCCTACATGATGATCATCATGTAAGAAACAGTTAAATGCAGTTAAAATGGATGGAAAATTTCATCAGTAATGATTTGCTCAAAATGCCACTGACGTTTACAGCTGACATAAAGCAAAACTATAGGCATAAAAAGGCCATTCTGCAAAGAAACTGTTTAGTGAAAAACATATAATGCTATATTTTCAGAGCCTTAAACATCTTAAAATATAATAAGTTAGAAAAGGTAATTTAAATTGCAATCATATTTCACAATATTCCTGTTTTTTTTTTTTTTCTTGCTCAAATAAATTCAGCCTTGGTGATCATAAGAGACTTCTTTCAAAAACATTAATAAAAATCTTACTGAGGCCAGACTTTTGAACAGTAGTGTATACTGCTATTTTTGAGCCCTGCAATTGGCATTACTATAGTAAGTGATAAAACCGGAAATTCTATACAATGCCTGAACAAACACATCCGATTAAAGCATTGGCTTTTTAACAGTGCGTACAGACAGGAGATTAAACCCGAAAAACAAACTGGAATTGCGTGTGGTGTGAATAACGATTATGTGATCTATATGTGTCTTTGTTTACGCAGTCAAACTCCATTCAAAACTTACCATGTGTGGTGCGATATTCACGTTGGAAGGGCCCAGTGTTTTTGGCAACAGGTGTTTTCCAACAGCCACTGACTGTGGATGCACTGTTACTAAAGACAGCACACCTGCAGGGGTAGTATTCACAGAGGACATCTTAAAGCAGTGCTATGTAGGGTCAAGCAGGGCTTTTTGTTTGGGCTTTTGTAAAGCATTACTGTAAGATCTAACATCCTTGAATATCTTCAAAGAATTCAGCTGCTGATGCAGTGCACTGTTATCTTCAGAAACTTCTAATGCTCCTCTTACCTTTGCCAGGGCTCAAGTTCTGATCAATGAAAACCTTCAACTCCCCATTGGCCTCAATCAGACCAGCCTGTGGAAAACAAGATGACCATCAACTCATTGACTTAAACTCCATTTCCAGTCAATTACGTCTAATAGAGCAAGAGAATACTCACATCTTTGGCCATGATCCCTGGGGCTGAGGAATAGATGCTTGGTCTAGATGAAAAACCTGAGCCAAAATTCCACAACAAAATGTCTCTGCAACAGAAATGAAACTGGTTTGGCACAAAAGCTGAGGACACTTGAAGACTGTAACCAAGGTTACTACACAAATCTTTGTTTCTCATGAGGGAGGTTTTCATTTGCAACAACCGCCAAAAGGACGCAACGATCAATGGGCTTTCAAACAAGTATATCTTGCCGTTTCAGGTGGTTTTTCTGATCTGTGAACAGAAGCTCAGAGACAGACAGACGAGTCTGGTCTCTATGGTAGGCCTCAGGTTTGCCTTCCTTCATGCCAAAAGCCTCTACGAGCAAGACAGGACCAGCATTCATCAAAAATGCCAAATGTTCACAATAATTGATGCAAAAAAAATGTTGCTGCATGTCTGAAAACCACAAAGGAATCATTATTAGCCATTATAGGTAGGTTCAAACTTCAAATGTTCAGCATATTTATATACTTTTTCAGTTTAACGCGTTAAAAATATTTAACGTCGTTAATGCAGGGGTGGGGCTAGTTTTGGCCACCCTACTCACAACTGCTGCCACTGTCTTTTTTCTTGCTAATTTAGTCTCAGAACGTCTTTACGAGCACATAACAACGTGCATGCAATGTCGTGGTCAGTTAAGTCATGAAGGCGATTAAAGCTGCCTTAAAACTGTGCATGCCTGACCTGAAGTGGGTCAGAAAAGGTAAAGAGAGTTGAGAGAAAATATGATGCTTGTCAGATCCGTTGTCATGTTCAGCAGCGGCAGCTCTTAAAGAAACAGCACCCAAAATAACCTATTAACCCAGCTGCTGTGATGTCTGTTCATCAAAGAAAAAAAAGAGGAAATCAATAACTTTTATAGCTTTAAGGATTCATCTATATTTAATTTAGAATTTAGTGTTTGATAACTTTATTAAATTTCTGTATATTTCCTACTTGCTGAAGGGCACAGGTAGCTAAATATGACACTGGTTGTTGAATGGCTATAGTCTATGGTTAAATATAGGGCTGCACGATAAATCGCATGCGATATTTAACGCGCATCTTATCAGTAAAGCGCAAAACCACGTACATATTCGCGCGATTTTTTGCGCAGCTCGTCAGTGAACAACGGCTCTGTGTAGTTAATGCTGCTCCATGTGAAAGCCCGCACGTGATGGAGATTTACCGCTGATTACAGAACCGGCTTTCTGACAAGATGCGCGTTAAATATCGCATGCGATTTATCGTGCAGCCCTAGTTAAATATTAGGGGAAAAAATAATTTTATATAGGCATCAGTAGTATTTCTTTACGAGCACATCAAACAGGAGACGTTTCAGACGCGCACTACACTTCATCTCAGCGGCTCGCGCGAGTCAAACGAGCGCGGAAACACCACGGTACTGTAGGCTGTGCCTCTTTCTGAGATAACAACATGCCAATCCGTGGTTGGATTTCCGACACGGCTAACCATAAATCATCTTACACTGTCAATAAGCGTGACTGATACTCGAGCCAACTCTGCTCTAACTGTCAACTAGCAGTGGGAGTCAGATTGCCCCCTAGTGGATGGCTAAAGATTTGCTAACTCATATTCATAAATCCTCAAGGGAATGTCTCTGAATTAACTGATGCTGCGCCCCCCTGGTTGAAAACCCCTGATCTAATAGTCTTCAGAGGATGTTCTCTAAAATATATTCTGTAGTGTTTATATCGAATATTCTCAGCATTTTTGCAGGGTTAAAAAAAGTAATATTGTGAAAAATTATTACAATTTAAAATAATGGGGTTTTATTCTAATATACTTTCAAATATAATTTATTTCTGTGATGCAAAGATGAATATTCAGCATCATTACGCCAGTCTTCAGTGTCACATGATCTTTCAGAAATCCCTATTAACCCAGCTGCTGTGATGTCTGTTCATCAAAGAAAAAAAAGAGGAAATCAATAACTTTTATAGCTTTAAGGATTCATCTATATTTAATTTAGAATTTAGTGTTTGATAACTTTATTAAATTTCTGTATATTTCCTACTTGCTGAAGGGCACAGGTAGCTAAATATGACACTGGTTGTTGAATGGCTATAGTCTATGGTTAAATATAGGGCTGCACGATAAATCGCATGCGATATTTAACGCGCATCTTATCAGTAAAGCGCAAAACCACGTACATATTCGCGCGATTTTTTGCGCAGCTCGTCAGTGAACAACGGCTCTGTGTAGTTAATGCTGCTCCATGTGAAAGCCCGCACGTGATGGAGATTTACCGCTGATTACAGAACCGGCTTTCTGACAAGATGCGCGTTAAATATCGCATGCGATATATCGTGCAGCCCTAGTTAAATATTAGGGGAAAAAATAATTTTATATAGGCATCAGTAGTATTGGTGTTAGTGATACTGGCCTCCTTCAGTCATAAAAAAAAGATGCCATTAAACAAATCTTTAAAATATACTGTCTTTGTTGTTTCTACATTAATTTGAAGATTAAATGTGAAATTATTGCAAAATAAAACATATTTAAAAAGTTTAATGTTAGATGCGATTAATTTCAGAAAAACATGCGATTAATTAGTTAATTTTTTTAAATCGATTGACAGCACTATTTTATATCAAAATGGTATAAGTTTCATTACATACATTTTCTAAGACATACAAAAAAAATTTATATGTTTATGGGATGATGATGACCTGTATACAATGCTCGATGCTTTGGTTTCTTACTTTTTTTTTGGTCTAAAACTCAAATTACTCAATATTGATTACTCGTATGATGTTGCTTTAATGCAACAGTTCAGTAAACTTGCAATCATGCTGTAGCACTGAAAAAATATCATCTGATATTCTGGTCGTATGCTGTTATTCTGCACAACGGCACTCTTGCTAGTGTGAATGGGAAATGGACTGACACCGTCACAGGTAAAGTGAACTAAAATGAGACTCGAGTCCACTTTCAAGCCCAGGGACAGTGTGAATACCAAGACAGCTTGGTTCTTTGTCACCCAGTTTCCAGGGTCCAAGTCTGCTTATTTTAAAATGCTGTCTCGGTAGGTAGCTCACTAGGTTTTAAGACACAGCACAAGATTGATGAAAACGAGGCCCGCCGATTTGCTTCCAGCACTCATGCAGCTTATATTACCAGACAAAGACCTCGACGAATCTTTCTCTCTTTAACATCCAATTTTTAACTCGTGCACTCAAAAACCGCATGCAATCTTCTGAAAGGCATCCATATGCAACAGTTCCTGTCGTTTAAATAACTTTTTTTTGCAAAAGCAATGGGCCCTTAAATATAGCAAATATTCATGACCAATGTTATAAAAAGCATATACTGTAAACGCATAAAGCAAAACGAAGATCCGTTTTATTCGTTTATATTTCCCGCATCAAACAAAATGCACAATCGGAACCGTATGTACGTTGCTATAATAAAGCGTGTTAGCCCAGTTAGCTAGCTGCCTTTCAAACACGTTTTGCACCGAAACCCTGCTCTAAATGTGATCAAAACGTGCCCCTCCTGCTTAAATGCGACCAGATCGAGTATTGTGCATGTGCTCGTACCGTTTTGCGAACGGATCGGACTTAAATGGCCATCTGGAAACGAAGTGTGTAAACTTTCCTCTGAACTTACAGTCCTGAAGCCCTTTGCCTTCTTAGGTGCTGTTTTTGTTGGCATAGCCAGTTAGCAAGAGGACAGAGGAAGAGGAGGTCTGAAGCCCATCTCTCAAACAGGAAACAAAGATAAATCAAATAATATTAAAAATAAAACCCATGTGCAGTGAATGATCATGCTTTTATAACGAGCTTGTACTTGGGAGATGTTTGATTGTAAGATAAGAGCACATTTATAAAACCCAAAATGGATGCGGATGTTTATAAGCATGCACACAAAAGACGCATTGATACTGTGAAATCCTCATGCAAGATTTAAGAAAAGAATTTAAATTACTGATATATTTTAGAACGAGTTTCTACAATTTATCTATCTACAGTATATAGAAACGACCTGTTATATTCAGCAACAGAGTTGACAGTCATAACACTATTCTGCTGCTGGAGGGTTACAATTCATTGGCTTCAACACAGCATGAGTTTAGACGACAGACAGTCCTTTAAAAATGGAAAATAATCGTTCAGAATGAGACATACTTGTTTACTAACTCAGCAGAACTAATATAACAAGCAGGATGGATTTGGTTTAATGCCTGGCAGCCATTTTACATGGAAGCCAAAGCAAAGCCATCAAGCAATGATGCTTTAATAGCCTGCTAGCTGAAGTGACAGGTCCTTATTACGATCTAAACTAATAATTATCTAGTTAATATACCCTTCACGGTTATGCAAATTTAACAACAACAACCGTTTCGTTCTGCAAAAGTATTTCAAAAACGCTTTAGAGCGAATATGGTAAAGCTGTTGTTAAGCTAGCGACCAGGCGAGCTAGTAAGCTAACTTCCACTCAAATCAAGGTCATCTGGGTGGGAAGCTTTAATATAATCAATCTAGGATCTACATACTATTGTTTGCTACACGTCTGGTTTGGTAGCTTTTTCGATTTAAATTACTGATATATTTTAGAACGAGTTTCTACAATTTATCTATCGACCTGTTATATTCAGCAACAGAGTTGACAGTCATAACACTATTCTGCTGCTGGAGGGTTACAATTCATTGGCTTCAACACAGCATGAGTTTAGACGACAGACAGTCCTTTAAAAATGGAAAATAATCGTTCAGAATGAGACATACTTGTTTACTAACTCAGCAGAACTAATATAACAAGCAGGATGGATTTGGTTTAATGCCTGGCAGCCATTTTACATGGAAGCCAAAGCAAAGCCATCAAGCAATGATGCTTTAATAGCCTGCTAGCTGAAGTGACAGGTCCTTATTACGATCTAAACTAATAATTATCTAGTTAATATACCCTTCACGGTTATGCAAATTTAACAACAACAACCGTTTCGTTCTGCAAAAGTATTTCAAAAACGCTTTAGAGCGAATATGGTAAAGCTATTAGGCTAGCGACCAGGTGAGCTAGTAAGCTAGCTTCCACTCAAATCGAGGTCATCTGAGCAGCTTTAATATAATCAATATAAGATCTACATACTATTGTTTTCTACACGTCTGGTTTTGTATATCAGTGCTTTTTCGTGCAATGGCCAATAACGAGTAAAGATCATTGAGGATTTCCCATTGCCCTGCACTGACAGAAGCAATTGACTAGGTTAGCTTGTCGGCTAACACAAGCCACTGGAGACAGACAGTTTCAATATTTCACATAAGTGATAATTAAACCGGACTGAGGGTTCACATACTAACGATCATAGAATCCATTATGAATAATTTCCTCCAGATACACGCTGAAGTTACTGGCCGGTTTTGCTGGCAAGCACACTTATTTCATGCCAAACTATCTTATCATTTTCAAACGCAGATAAATGACAACTCCTTTATGCAATGATGAATTATAAATACAGAAAACATCGGTCAAAGCTGTCTACGTGGACTCAAAGCCCCCCTGGTCTCACTTACGGTCGGTTGCATCCGCCTTCAACTGTCTAGTGTTGAATGAATAGCAGCGCATTGAGCGCACACAGTAAAAACTGCTCCCTCTCTGGGTCTGTAAAACTGAGCTTGGCGGTGTCTACGCCACGGGAAATCTGATTGGACAGTAATGCGCATGACGTCGAAGGAGCGTAATACGGAAGCCACGCCCACCCTGAATTCCGATTGGATGGGACTCTATAGTTTCTTCGTTTAAATTTTCTCATTGGTTAATTTCACAGGATCCTACCCCATGCGTCTGAGGGCGGAGCGTGCGTAGCAATATATGTAAATAATAAAGAGAAGCGCACTAATAAAAAGGTTCATGTCTATAAAGTATCAAATAAATTTTGATCAACAGAGTCAAAAACTATAATAATAGCTGTTATCAGTATTTGCAAGTTTTATCAATACTTTAAAAGCACTTTCTAACGATATATGTGCATTAATACCACTTCCCGGTTGCACTGTTACATGAATGTTATCCTATTTATTTGTATCATTATTAGGCAGGGGTGTAAGATGTACTGAAATTGTGCTTAAGTTCAAGTACAGATAATATGTCAAAAAATGTTACTCAGTTAAAAGTACCTAGCCAAAAATAGTTGAGTGAAAGTAAACAAAAGTATCCACGTTTAGTAAAAGAAACACTTTTCTTAGCTTTTTAAATTGACTTTTTACAAGAGATAATCTCAATAAATAAAAACAAATAAATTCCTGTTTAAATAAAACTTAAGATAAAATGTGAGCATGATTAATTGGCTTGTTTGTCACATTAAGATAAAAAAAAACATTTAAATTTAAAAGATTTAATGTATTTTTTACAACATAAAACTGTAATAGTACTATTTAAAAAATATTATTTTTAAAAGTACTATTTTTTCATTGAATAAGCATGCAAGCATTAAAATAACTCCAGTAAATTATTATATAACTGTTATTAGAACTATTCTAAAATGCTTTTTTTTTAAGCAAACAGGTCAAGATTTAGAAAGTATGAATCAGCTAAATAATACATTTAAATGTCTGTAATTAAACTACATCTCATTAGGTTGCTGTTTGGTTTCAGGCTCTGGAACCTGTTTATCTATATTCATGCTGCCCCTACAGAATGCACTGTACAGTATGTTTTATACAGATAACTAAATGGAGAGGACTTCAAAAAAGGGTGTCACCATTGTCGTGTCGCTATCATTTTCAGGTCTCTGGGTGGACATATTTGAAGAAGTTATTTGGGTTAAATACTGTACATTTATGAAGATGGATTTTCCACCTTTTGGAAATATAAATATAATTAAGTATAGTAATTAAACAAAATCATTATTCAGAAACAAATACATACAGAACGCAGATCAATATCCCAAATGAACCAATAAATGAGACAAATTAAACAATTCAACATGTATTACAACACCCTTTTTTTTAATTACACACTGTGTTCATGTCTGACTGTAAACAGTGCTTGTGTTTACAAATAACTGCACATGACAAATTAGAGAAGGTCTTGCTCTTGCAACACATGCTGTGTCTGTGTTTATTTTTTACAAGAGAAACACTGAATTACACACTGTGTTCATGTCTGACTGTAAACAGTGCTTGTGTTTACAAATAACTGCACATGACATAAATTAGAGAAGGTCTTGCTCTTGCAACACATGCTGTGTCTGTGTTTATTTTTTACAAGAGAAACACTTTGAGCAGCAGGTAACTTGAGTTACATCATGCATGAAAGATGTATAGACCTTTCATAGGTAGGCTATTAGAGATATGAAACATGTTTTAAATCAGTCCATTTTGTGGCGTTCACACTAAAAAATCCAACACTGTTATCCACTCAAAGGTTTAGCCATACTGCACTAGTCAGCTGAACAAGCTCAAAAGTAGGTCATAACCAGTGTTAGATTATGCTGGCAGAGTCTGCAGTAGGGGTGGGCGCTATACCGGTATGAAAGTGACAACCGGTATTATTGCTATACCATTATATATTCATGAATTCAAATTTTGCATTTATATTGTTTTGTTCAACTTGGAACGCTTTGCAAATTTTAACACAAATGACGACAAAGAGTCGAGGCTGAACGTTTTTGTCCTCTGTGTGCAACGCCGTACACAGGCATTAGTAATCAAACACTTCTTCTTCTTCTTTTAATTTTATTGGCGGTTGGCAAACCAAGTAATCAAACACATAGAGCATGGTAACAGACCAAGCACGGCAAGACTGAGGGATAGTGTACAGTCAGCAGATTATTTTGCAAAATAAACCTCTGCAGGGTGATAAAGACTAAACTGCATAATTTTCCCGCTCATCATGCGGCCACTTGCCTGATAAGTAAATAATTGACCGCAAAATATTAATTTGACATAGGCTATTTTAATGACCTCAACATGACTTGCAGCACCCGCTTAAGTTATCAGTTGTGGTTGTATCATAACAGACCACTAGATGGTGCGATTGAAGAATCAGAGTTGTATTGCAGTAAGCCATGTAGAAATATAAATGAACGATGCATGGTTCTGCTCTAAGCATGTAAGTTACAAGTTTGTGAAAGGACTTCCAGTGCCAGGTAAACGTAAAGCAGATTATGAATATGCTTAAGATTCACAAATACCAAAACAACGTGTCTACACCAGACGCGAGCGGCGCGATTTGACAAAAGCAAATAGAACCCAGTGATG